GTTTGTGCCCAGGCCTCTGTGTGACTGTAAAGGGGTAGCACTGAGTTAGATCTGGGAGTCTCTGTCTCCCTAGGATGCTGCAAAGATGTCTGGAGTGCCCTGATTTGCTAAAGCTTAAGGGAGATTTTTGCTTATTTAATAAAAACCATGAAGCTTCAGATGTTCCTGCTGGAAAGCTAGGACACTTTGCTACATACATTGTGACTGCCTCTAGCATGCTGGGCTTCTGCTTTCCCAGTCTCTTAAAGTATTTACATGACACACTGTTTATTGGAAGCACTAGTTCATATTTTGCATCTGTTTCTGCCCTATCGCCATTTTATGGGGGAGTTTTTCTGTTGCGGTTGTAACTGCTTGATGAATTAACTGAACTATGTTCATTCTTGGTATCCGGAAGAGCTTTTTTGACTTATATCTTAAGTTTCAATCACTTTCTATTTTGTATTTGCAGAATGTAGCCATGACTTAAAGCATCTACCCTTAAAGACTAGATCAGTTTATTTCTAATAATTCACATGCTTAGGAATTAGTTTAAAGATAACAGTCCTAGCACTCACCAAACAGTTGCAGTAACAAGTAATAAAAATACACCCCAAAGCAATCATCCCCCTCTTTCTTACTGTAAGAGCTGCACTTTTCTGCCATTGCTGTCTCCAGTTGAGCTCACTTAAATGGTTCAGCTTACTGTCCCCTCTGCCTAACCTTTTGAAATGCAAATTATGTAGGTTTTGAGCTGTCCTGTGCTGCATATTTCTCACAATTAGTATGTATTCATTAGCTGAACTCGGCATTAATAGCCTAGATCTTCATGAAAGACATGAAAATAATTCTCCTATCTTTCAGTTTTAATTGTTGCCTGCTATATTCTTCTTTTTCTTTTCTACTACTGTTCTCCTTCCCTTCTTTTTTCCCCAACTTTCCAGACTGGTAAAAGGGCTTTACCTGAGGTGGGGGATGGCCAGCCCTGGCTAGCCATGCAATTTTGATGGTCTCCTTTGCAAGCCCTTTGTCATGGTACTAGGGGTGAATTAATCTGTTTTTCTTGAGTTACTGACAGTTTCCCTTGTTTTATAAGTCAGTTTACCCCTTTTCCCAAGTTCTCAAAATGAAAAGAAAAAAATGCATTTTCAAAACTTCCATTATATAGACAGACACAAGTTATTTTTAAAGAGTTTTACAGGATCACTTTCTGCCTGCCTTCCTCAAGGGTGCTTCCTTTGCTTCCATCATCTGCCTCTCTGGCTCCATGGATGTGTCGGGAACAGACACTCGCAGGTCGTGTGCTGCTCCAGATGCCTTTTTCTTTCCAGCACCTTTAGCTTTGCCATGCGCTGCCTAGCTCAGAGAACCGTGCTATTTTTCTGGGTTTATTTCAGATTTTGGGTAACTGGCCTCTTTTGCAGCCTTATTAGAGCTAGGTTGCTTGACTTGATTGTCAGAAACCTTTTGTACTTCCTTCTCCACCTAGCCAGTTAAGGAGTATGAAGCTAACAGCTAATTTAAAAAAAACCTGCTAAGTAAGTTCAGGCACATTTCAGCACAGACCACCCAGCTTGTTCCCTCAGCGTCACAAACAAACAGAAAATTACTGTAGATAGCCGATCTTTTTGAAATTCACTGGCTCTTTTTGAAATTCCCTGGCTCTTAAATTCTGCCTCAGGTGTTTTGCTTTTCTTGTGGTTTAAGTGACACTTTGATAATCATAACATTATTTTTCTTTAATTTGATGTTATTGCCCAATTTCCTGAACTGTAAAACTGTATGGCCTTTAAAAGCTCACAGATGAACTGGGTGGATGCATTATAAAACAAAGCAAAAGGCTTTTAGCCACACACATTTACTTTCCCTCTTCCATTGCTCAGTTATTTTTCAGAGAATAATCTTCCTTAAGTACAAATGATAAATATATGTACATGAATGTTGTCACAAAATAATTGTTGCCATGAAGTTGCCTCTTGGAGTGTCTGTGCAGGGGTGACATTCATACTCTTACAATCACTTGTTGGCTTTCTCTGCCTGAGGGATTAAAACCCACCTGATCAAAGACCTTCTGATGTTGTAAGATGCGGGGACCGACAGCTCTTTTGCTAGAGGAATGTTGAGCTCCTTCAGCTTCAGATATCGAATCCTGCAAGCTTTTCTCTGTTGTTTGCGTAGCATCTCAACTTCAGGTCATGTTTTGGAGGAAATTGCAGTTAAGTAAATTATTTTTCTCCTAAAGCTTGATTATTTTTTTAATTGTTTTGGTTTTTTTATTTTTTACTCTCTGGTGAGATGCGGACAGTGCAGGTTTTGTCGCTTGTCTGCAGCATGACCCAGCAGGGTGTGCTCTGCTCCGCAGCAGAAATGCAGCCTGCCTCCTCCAAACAGCAGCTTTCCCCTTACATCTAAGTCAGATGCTCTGAAGACAGACACGCTTCATGGCCTATTTTAGTCTGCTGCATTCAGACTGTGCTTTAGTGGACCTTCAGAACAGGTGTTGTGTAACACTGCTGAGCCGTAACTCTCTCTGGCAATTCAGAAGTGTACCAGCATCTATTTAAGGCAGGATGCTGGAGAGTCTGTCCGTACAGCGGTCAGGGTGTAGCTATCTAATTGCTGCCCTGCAACAGGAAAACATTGCCAAATTAAAGTTTGATTGTTTCAAGCATTTCATTTTCTGTTCCGTCACAAAATTTTTTTTGTAAGAGGGCTTTTTTCACTAAGCAGCCTGTTCATTTTATAAAGATGGTGACAGCTGGGAGATTCCTTTTCCAGCCAAGTGGTAGACTGGACTGTCAAACCCAGTCTGCTGCTGATCAGGACAGGTGAGAGGGAAAGTTGTTCTGAATAACTAAAACACCTGGATAGTACAAGAAGATAAGAGACACTCAGTGCAAAATGAGGGGGTCATGGTAATCCTGCTGA